CTGCTTCTTCCTCTTGAATTGGATTTTAGAGTTGTTCAGTTTTCTTGGCTTTTCTGCATTATGTTGCTGCAGGTGATCTTTCTGGCCATTAAGAATAAGGTCAGAGATGGGGATTTTCTTTCCAGAGTGACCATAGCCTAACCGTATCTCCTTTGATAAGTCACAGCCTCTTTGTTGCCCTTTCTGTGCAGCAGCTTTTTCTCTGAATGGCTTAATGATCATCTTGCAGAGGTACTCTGAGGTTTAGCTTAATGTCTTTGCTCTCCAGCTACAAAGTTGTATAGCATCACACATTAGATTCTTATTAGATTAAGAATAAATTTATGCAAATGATGTTTAGGAATAACTCTTCCCAGGTATGCTCCTTTAATTTTGTCTGAAGCATTAAATTACATTTATATGGTGAACATCAATTAAAGCCTCCACCTGGATAAATCATTAAAGCTAACCTCCTGCTTAGGAAAACTAAGGTTCTTAATAAATTCAATGTTCTGTGTTAGGAAAGTTTTTCTGAAGTACACCGTGTGTTTCTGTACCCAGTTTTCAAAGCAAACTTAGACATGTAAGTCAGAGGCTTCGCTCAGAGTCACTGAGTGAAGTGAAGCACTAATGAATTCCAGAACAGTTCTCTGTCCTTAGACTGTTCTTCTTCCCCCTTGCAGCAGACTAGCTGGCTAATTACTGTGTGGGGAAAAGCTTGGTCTTGATCCTTACCCACACCCTTGTTAGTGCAGAGAATGGATCAGCTTGTTAGCCAACAGCACATCAAATGCCAGCATCTTGATAGATTGGACTGTTGGTCTTTGCACTTCAGTCTTTAGAGTATGGATAATCTCCCTCTTATTAAAAATGCTCAGACTTTAATGGGAGTCTCAAATTGTGTGAGCCAGATCATCTGCTGTGCTTGATCTGTGCCAGGCTGCATAAGGAAATGCTTTTTCAAGATGCTTCCCTTAGAGGTACAAGGCTGCAAATCGTGTTGTACCAGCTGTGTCCCCAGTTCTGAGTAACACCTGCAATGCATATACCCAAATTGCCTGCATAAGTCCTTAATAGCAATGGTAACACCTGCTCTGACTTCTCTCAAAGGTTTCTGGATAGATCTCCTGTGCAGATCGTGCATACAAGGTTAGTGATCAAACTGGTATATTTGCCTAATAACAAGTGCATAAATGTGATGCACAAAATACAGTCATGTAGAAAATGGTTATTAGCCTGGAGCATGAAGGATGGAGACAAAAGGTTGATAATCTAAATGAGATTTCTCATATATTGAAACAAAACATTTAAATTATTATGTATGAAGAGGCTTTGTGTTGATTTCAATGCATTTCTGAGACTTTAAATGCACTGAATGTTCATCAGAGTCAGTTGAGACATTAAAAAGCAACCGGGAAATTCTGGTTCCAACATAAATCTGACCAGGAGATGGCAGCCTTGATGCATGCAGGAAATATCCAGTAACTAAAACGTTTCTTCCAGAACCAACAGAGGAGAAGAAATTACCTTCATTTAATGGGAAGATAGAATGTCTTAGCAATATCTAGATAAATGCTAACAAAATAATCCTGTTTTAGCTTTTGTCTCTTAACTGGCCAATGCAAGGTAGTGAATTACAAATGTGCTTAGATTTCAGTCTGAATACTTGAGTCACCAGTTCAATCTGGTAATGATCTCAGACAATGATTTTGGACTTTCATACTTTTGTGTTTTTTGTTGTTGTTTTTCAGAATTATTAGTAGTATTAAAAGGCTAGACATAATAGATGCTAATGTTGTCACTTCTGTATATTTGCTGTGTAAACTAATAACTGGAATTTACAGCTAGAGGCAAAGCTGTTTTCTTCAAGCTTGAATCTAAAAATTCTTCAGCTTTTTTCTTTATTCTTTTCCTGCCCATGCAGTATGCTGATGTGCATTAGCTTGGGAGATAGACTGAAAACTGGAGAATTGTATTTAAGACCTGGTAAACAGGGAAGGAGTTCATAGGGAAGTACTCATTTTTCCTCTCAGCTTGGTCTGTGGGATCTTGATTTTGTTTCTGCTCCTTTCAGCAGATTGGATGAGAGTCTGGCTCCAAAGTTTGCTTGGAGGAATGAGCTTGGTCCTATTCATAGGATGCTGTTGTCAGAGGCCTTAATGTAGGCGGAAGTACCTAGGGGCCCAGTTTTCTACCCCCACTGTTCCTATCTACACAGATGTCTGATAGAAAGTTAATTAATCAACTCATCCCTAAGAGCAGTAGGAATTTACCAGGAATGCCCAGAGTGTGTCAGGTTGTATTGTTCCAATGGTGTGAAGGCACAGGCTATGTCTGTGTGAACAGTTGGGAGTTTAAAAAGAAAATTCTCCCTGGAATCTGAGTGATTAAGGGGTGAATAGGCTCCAACTGTGAGAGGTCGTGTTGCTATTTGTTTTCCATGTTTCTGTTTCTGCTGTCCAGCATGCGTCTGTTTCTAGTCCTGCTCCTGGTAGCCTCTGTATTCCTATGGGCCCTTCCAGGAGTGTTTCTGTGCAGCACTGGGCAGTACTGTGACAGTAGCCAGCAGCCCTGGCTGGCACCAGCCCCTGCTGTTGGGAACTGACCTGAGGTGTGGGCAGCATATGGATGGGGGAGAGCTGCCCTTGGGTACTGGAATTATGAGCACCTGCATGATCTACTGTGGATTACAGCGGAGTGAAACTTAGCTCCCTTACTCATCTTATGCTTTTATACTTATGGTAATGTGCAGAGCAACTTATTTAGCTAGCAACTGATGCAGGTAAAAGCACACATGTGGAGATATACTGCATGGCTGCTCCACAGTATATCTTTCATCCTGGCTCATGCAGTGGCAATTTGCTTATAGTGTTCAGATGTCTGAATACTTAAATAGGTGTTCTCTTAGTGTAGTGTTATCATAGGGGAGCTTCAGCTAAGAAAGCAAACTGGCATTGTGCATTGTTTGTGTTCTTTAAACTTCTTCAGCACTTCCTGGAAGGCACTGAAGTGATTCAGATCTGAGTTTTTTTGCATCCATCTGTCCTGATTTGTTACTTTCTTTTACCTTGTGGCCTGAACACATGAAATTAGTCTTGCATACTTCCCTTCTGAAGACCAGTGTTGACTGACATCAAAAGACTGCTTGAATTGTTATTGATAGTAGGGTACGCTTGTAGAAACAAATAAGGTGGCACGTCGTAAGTTCAGGTGCATGCTGAAAATGTCATCTTTCAGCCTAATGTTAGCAGTTGCAGCTTGTGGCTTTTCTAGTGAAGAAGTGCCCTAAAGAGCCAACCTGACAGCCTGGATGACATGAGCCTTTATTTCCTTTCATAACAGCACAACGTAATCGCTGTTTTTGTTCTTGTGCAGCCAGAGATTCCCTTCTAAGCTCGAATTCAAATGGGAGAAACATCAAAGTTGAATTGAAATGCAAGCTCCTCAAGTAGTCCGGGGGAAATGGAGACATCACTTTGTAGCTACCTCTCTCCTGCCAAAATTGCAGCACCCCAGATGTCAGAAAGCCATGCTGTGTTCTCTGCCTGCTCTTGGTCGACTAGATTGTTTTCATCCAAGCCTTTTTAAAGTTTTTCTCCTGCCTCTACATTTTTTTTTAAGGAGTAAAAAGCTAATATAAGGACATGAAGTGTTATGAAGCATGAAGTTCTATAAATATTTATGCTGAACTATCAAAGAACTTGACAGTTCTTATTTTCCTGACATATTGGGGTCACTTGTTATTTTTGACCCTGAGAATTGAGGAGCACATGGAGTTGTATCTGTTTGTAATGACTTCTGGATATTGTCTGGTAAACTTCTAGGAATATAAAGGGATAACAGACTTTTTCTGAGTCTCTTTGTGAAACTGTAACTTAAACTTTACACTGTGTTACTCACAAGTGATCGTTCAAGTTACTGTAGCACTTGTGTATCTGTACAGCCTGGCAGGATGTTTCTGCAGCATGTGTGGGTTGAAGTTAGCGGCTTGGTTTGCCATTGCAGACATACAGATTTCTACTAGATGACCCTTGATTTTAAGCACTCAGTGATCACTTTTCCTTCTATGAGCCAAATCTAGCACAGTAAGTTGCTGACCCCAGCATGGGATGGAACTGATGAGGTGTAAGGCTGGCAAAGGGCTGCAATGTCTCTGGTGTTTGGCCACCAATCCCAGCACTGTTTGAAGCAATCTCTGGTATCAAAGGAAAACAACAGCTCTTCCTAGAGGGTTGTGTGATAGTAAGCAAGCATTTTTCTAAAGATGAGGCTTGTAACTTTTTGGCATCTCAGTATCTTCATTTCAGAAAATTATGTTCACACAACCTTAACTCTAACCTGAAATCATAGCAGGTGAATGCTTAAATACCATGCCTAATGTTCTCAGTAAAGCTGAGAACTAGTTATGTTATACTATGTTATTATGCAGAAACTAGTTTTGTTATTACACCCAGCAAAATGTGCCTTCCTCGCCTAGTTAATTGCATAGAAAAAAATGGGTCCAGTGCTTCACTTTGAATGTTTATTTCATGTTAAGCCTTGAACGTATTGTGTGCATCTAATACCAACTGGAGAGTCTCTTGTTGTCAGTCACTAGAGGGCACAATGGAACTATCTAGGACATTTGGTTGTTTAAGTCCTAAGTCTCTAGATTAGGCCTGTGACAGTTGGGGAGAACTTCCTGTGCCTGCTGAAAGACTGGATAACTTCAAACTGTGGATTTTGTCGGTGACTTTTTTCATCTACATCTACTTCTGTCTTGGAATTTAAAATCTGAAGTGTTATGTTCAAGGGTACTTACATTTTTTCTGTTCATACAATTTTTCTTCAGGAAGTGTGTAGCTTTGAGAACAAATACATCAGCTCCTTATGAGCAGCTTTTAAGTTCAATGCATATAATTACAAAAAAAACTTCTCAGTTTCTCAGGTTTCTGTACTGGGAACAAATTCCAGACATATCTGTGAAAGAGAGAAAGAGGCAGCAAAAGAAATTGCTGTCTGAATATACTGTTCTTTTGCAGGTTGCGTGCCTCATACGGGTTCCATCTGAAGTTGTCAAGCAAAGGGCCCAGGTTTCACCTTCTGCTGGAACCTTTCGGATTCTTTCCCACACCTTGTACCACGAGGTGAGTTCAGAGACAAATTTCTAAGTTGCTTCATTCTTCTCGCTGATGCTATACATGTGCAGAAGTATTTCTTCAATTTTACTCTAGTTAAGTGCTCTACTGGTACTTCTCCATCAATTTGTTGGTAAAAGAGGTAGACAGCATGTGTGAGGAAACCAAACCTCCACCTTTCCCCCCCATGCACATGCACTTAAGCATACACACTTTTAAACAACTTTTTCTTCTTCTTTTTTTTTATGTTGGGTGCCTAAGTAAGAAGCAAGGAGAGGTGGGAAGAGAGGAGAAAGGGAGGAAAAAAGCATCCTCAAACTCTATTTGGGTTTATATAAATAGCCCTTGTCTGGGACAGCAGGACATCAAGTCTGTGCATTTAGAGTCTTGAACTTAGAATAGACTTTGGGAGGGCATCCTAAAGGCACCATTTCAGAGAGGCTCCTTAGGAGAAATGAGTACTCTTCCAGCATTGAAAACTTTAAAAAAAAATATATATATATTCATCTTTTCAGTAGTTATGCTGTTTCTTTAGTAAAAACCTATTCACCACTGTTTTTACTGAGTCTCAAAAGGGGCATTTCTCAAGTTGTATTCCATAAGAAAATGGCTTCTGAAAATACATTATACAGATTTCCATGTAGAAAAACCAGGAAAAGGAAGACATAAATATGACTCTTTAATGATCCATTTGTTTTTTTAGTTGCTTTTAAATGAAAAATATTGTGATAGCCCTGCACAAGAGGATCCCTGGAGTATTATTCTGTGACTTGGTCATTCTGCTCTGAAAGGTGGTGCTCTCCAAATTGTATTCTTTTCCTTGTCTTTGTTGTTGACCAAAGAACTGCAGGACTTGAAAAATGCACAAGGAATTGTCTTATAAGATATTAATTGTGTATGTACTTTTCAAATGATTTTAATTGTTTATGTTACCAGCTGGTTAAAAATGCAAAGTATTTGTTTTGGTAAAATCAAAGGTAAGAAGATGGACATAAATTGTCATCTTATGTGTTCGTTTTGCATAGACTACTGAAGTGGAAGAGAAGTAGTTCTAAAATGTGTGAGATAATGGATAGTTGCCAAACATTGGGCAAGTAGAGTTCGATGTAATGTTACTGTGCTAGTTTACACTTTTAGTTTTAACTGTAAGGTATATTTTCTTCTCTATAACTGATTATTCTGGACAGTGCTCTTTGAAATGAACATAAAACCCACCAGCACTGTAAATGAGAGAACCCAGTATACATAAATATGTTATAATCAATACAGTCAATTCGTAAGAAGCTCAGGTCTGACACCTGATAAAGCTGCAGTACTTGCTTTGTAATCGCCACTAAATTGTGGTCTTGGGCAAACTAATTCTCTCTAGCTAATGCTTTCTTTTGTTGGTTTACAGGGTATTCAAGGACTTTATCGAGGTTATAAAAGCACGGTGTTAAGAGAGGTAAATACACTTGTCTTTTTTAAGCATTGATTCCTTTGCCTTGCTTTTTTGTTTACTAACAAAAGGTAATAGCAGTACAGTTCAGTTGCTCTAACCATAATCTGTAAGTACTAGCATATTTCATTCTAGGTGAGTTACCAGCCTCTAATTTAAATAGAATCTGATAACGTGCATTAGAAGGACCTATGACACATGCATCTACTCTCCTGTCACTTACTTCTGTTGCTGCTCAATTGTTACAGGATGGAAATGTATATGTTAATGTGACCATAAAGTACTGGAAACTTCCTCGAATCTTGTGATTGCGTTTTGTGAAGTATGAATGCCAAGAATGGTGAAGTGGTGGTGTGAAGCCAAGTTTGGCAGAGACAGATGTAGACTTTCTTTAAATGTGCTTGCCAGCAGGTGCCAAGAGATTTTGTCATCTCTATATAGGAAGGATTGTGCACACTCTTTCCTCTGCCCTCCGAATGTGTGGAAGAAATGCCTTTAGTCATCCAGTCTGTGGATGTGATGTGGTGTTACTTAAAGTCAGAAGTACTTCACTGTTGGCAAAAAAAAAAAAAAAAAAAAAAAAAATTGAGCTAAAAATATTTTGGCATTCTTGACAGAAAATAGTTTCTAAACTTCAAGTCTCTTCATAAATGTACTACCCATTGCAGGCTTAGTGTCATGCAAGTGTTTCATACCCTATGTGAATTGAAGAGACCAATTATGAAAGAAGTAGAAAAGCTCACTTGTAGGGTTTTGTTGCCCTGGTTTGGGCACACTGAATTTGAGTGTGGGCAGAGGCTCTGATCCTATTGTTGTTGGTTGTGTGCTCTTGTGGCTTCAGTTGTGAATTTAGCTTTTGTTGGTGCTTTTTCATGCATCTGGAAGTGTGGCAACTGAGGTCTCCCCACAAGTCTCCATGCAGGCTGATGGCATTTGCTCCTCTGACTTCAGACCTTTGAATATGGCATCTGTGTGACTTCTTAGCAACTCTTGTTTATCATGTGTTATTACCCCTTATGATTTCCTTGAAACTTTAAATTTTGGATTTGCTTTTTTTTATATAAAACACTTCCTAACAGTAATATTTCTATAAAATATACATGGTCTTTTCTAGGCTGTTTCATATTTGCCAGTGTGCAAGATTTCTTTTGTCCATTGACATTCAGCAGTGCATCCAAAACTTCTTAGGAAATCATATCTCAGGAGGTCATCTCTTGACAAAGCAGAAGTTGCACCTTGAGTGCCTTAAATAAAGAGACAAGGTGTGCTGCTTTTGAAAACCTAGCAGCTGCTTCTCATAAAGTGTTCTTTACTTACTGTGCTCACTGTGAAATGTGGAGATTTGTTCTCTGACATAACTCAACTGAATAAGTCAGATTTGGATTATTTTTTTCTTTTTTCCAGACCTGTTGGCTCTGTTACATTGATCACAAAGCTAACTGCAGAGGCTTTTAAGCCTGTATTCAGTAGCTCTACTCTAAAAAGCCTTTCTTCATACTAAAAACTGCTCTTGTTGCAGTGCAGCATAAAGATGGATATTACCTAAAATAAGAAATCCCACATTTAGTGTTCCCTAAAGTGCCGAGAAATGACAATGCACTGCAGTTTATTTGAACACTTCTGAGTGTTTCAAAAATTAGTTATTTTTGCAGAAATGACACCTGCTTTTCTGAAATGCAACCCCCACCATAGCTTCACCCTGTACTTATTTTCTGGCTCACTAAACATGTGTTGTTCGCTCCGATTTCATTTGAAGATGGGCAAAAAAAAGGCCAGCGAGTCATCTTGATTTCTCTGAGGAGTTCTGAATAAATGAATAAATTTAGATGCCATTGAATACAGATTTTGCATACTAACAGGTAGATAAAACACATGGTTACAACTGGGTACTATTCTCCTTAAAATTTGTTTTGACATATGTCAGGGTGGTAATTAATTTGCAGATCATATTCATGGCACAGTGTGTGACCCTGCAGAGATAACTTTGTTTACTCAAAATGGCAGCACTTTGTTGGAAATTTAATGGGGTCCTCTCCATTATGTATATTCATAAAAGATCCTTCAGAACTGATTTGTGTTGAAGTATTGCTTTTTGGGTAAATCTGTCCAATGGAATGAGAAATAAATGATTACCAAATGAAGTGTGCTTTCTTTTCAAAATGAAACAAATCATAAGTGATGTTTTTAAAAATAAAATGAAATACAATCTTTGAATTTAACACCCTGTTAAGACCATTGCATTTTTAGACACTAAATATTGTAAAGCAATGTCCATTCAAGTAAGAACTGAGTACAGAACTTTCAGGTTGAAATAATATAAGCCCAATGTTTAATCTTGATATTTTTCTCCTCTATTTTAATACACTTCTTTAGGGAAAGGCTCTATTTTCAGATAAAAATCTATATTCACTATTGGACTCATCCTGGTAGCTGCATAGCGTATGCAGACTCCAGCTGAATTTTATGCTTACAGATTTCATTTGTATGTTTAGGTTCTTTACTTAGGCAAACCCCTTTGTTTAGTTCCAGTGGAGTGCATTTTTGGTTAGAAGGATTTCAGTGCATGGCTTTTCATTTAAAAAAAAAAGAATTAATAGAAGCAGCTGTGGGTATTGATGCTTTGAAAATAGTGAGCTGCTTGCACTGACAAAATTACCGAGCCAGATTTTAAGGAACGTTTAATTGTTGCATCAGGATAAGGTTTTGCATATTGCATAAAGCAGGTCTCAGTGCCTGGACAAAAATCTGTTTGCCAGTTGCTTGGAAATGAGTCTCATTGTTTATAAAAGGAATGCAATCTTGAAATCTCTTCTTTTTTTACATAGTATTTGTAGATCTTCTCAAGGCAGCCTTACTCTGTTCTAGAAAATTTGCATTAGCTGTTGTGCTGCTTCTCTTCTGGTGTGGTAGTTGTTTCCTCATTTGATTTTTTTTTTTTCATTTTTATTCATTTATGTCTCCTTCTCATTGGGCAACTTTCTGTGCAGACAGATAGTAGAAAAGATAAGATAGCTAAATATGTAGTGCTGTTTGGAATTACCTTTGTTTGAGTTAATCTCTGTGGAGAACAAGGCATGAGTGCATGCTTGGAAGTTTTGGCTATGACTTTTCTGCCTAATCTGAACTACCAGCCCTAAAATTTAAGTGGGATCAAGGTATGGAGTATCTTTCTGTTTGCAGAAGTAGCCTTAAAGATGCACCCATCCTCAAAGAGGAGATTTTTTATGACAAAGCACAATGTGCCAGTATGGTTATTAAGTGCCTGACTAAGACTTTGAATAAATGGTGAAAATTAGAGGCTGTGAAAAGATGTGGAATTCTCATGATGTCATTTCCAAAGCAAATCAAAGTGAAAATTGTCCTTTCCTGTGGACAAAGTGTACCAGCATGCACTGGTGTGGAAACTGAATCATGCTACTGAGAGCAGGCAATGAACAGGTAAAAGAAAAAAAAAAAAAGGTATTCATGTTTTCAACAAGAGAAAGTTGGCTTGTAAAATCTTCTGCCATCTTATAATGAGACAGGAGTAGACTGTAAATGTGCTGTAAATCCTCTAGAATTTCTTAATGGGAATGTATTTCTGCTGCTGAGATCTTATATAAGCAAATGGAGCCAGATTTTTAATTCCTGCATAATTCATTTTATTAACTATGACCAAGTAGAACATCTGTTAAAATTCCATAATGTTCAGTTCATGGGAAAAAGACAGAAACCCATGAGTTCTCTTTGGAGTTTTTCCATTTCCATTAATGTTACAGGACTCTAACAGATGTCTTAAAGGATGTTATTATGAATGAGAAGACAACACAAGAGAAAATGAAGTGCCTTGTCCAGTTTCCCCGTGTGCAGTAGCTTGTTGGGCAGCGAGTTACTTTACTCTTTACATGTCTGTATGTTCAGCATTGTGCAAGCAGTGCCACAGCGAAACAGTGTCTCTTCTGCTGTGAGGTACTGTGGAAGTGTTTGGGAGAACTGAGTGGGTGTTTTGTGTGGCTTTAATTTCTCACTTCCAAAGACAGGGCAGATGGGCTGAGCCCTGGCCCAGAGGAAGACTGGGAAGGAGTTAAAATGCATACTAAATTATTTCTTTAAAGACAGAGGAGGTGGAGGATTGAATCTTTATAATTCACTGATGACTTAAAAGGAGGAACTTGCAGAAAAATTACTAACAAACAAACAAAATCTCCTCTTAAATGACTTACCTCTCACTTTCTCCCAGGTAGTATCTGAAACAGCTGGAAGCAAAATGAGCCTTGAAGATGCACCTGCTGCATTTTCCAATGTTTCAAGTTTTGATGAACAAAAGATGCTGAGGAGGTTATATATAAAAATGTGGAACCCAGCTGAGCTATATTTAAACATTGTTGACCAAGCCAGAGAGGGGGTCTCAGGGCTGAGCTCAATAGAGAACAGTCTGCAAACAGGGAGCCTGGTTTGTTTATCCACTAGAGGTAGTTCTGCATGCTTTTCTTTTGTTAGGACATCTTTGTATAAATATCCTGTTCTCTTAGCTGTTTTTTTTTAAAGTTGATCTCTGTTGCTGTAGGACAAAAAATGTTAAGACGTTCTTTTTCTTGTACAATTGAATCTTTGATCTTCTATCGTTCTCTGTATTATAGAGCAGATGTCGATAGAAATAGGCAAACAGGACACTATCTTAATACAATATTTGGGAAAAGAAACATCCTCTCTAATGAAATATGCGCAGTATCTGCCTTCTGTTACCTTCTGGAAAACTGGGCTAGCTTTACTTTATTTTGTGGTTCTGGAGATTGGCCAAGGCGATTTGCCAGGCAGGATCCAGAAGACTGGGTTTTTGACTTCTGCCAGGCAACCAGCTTTTCTTAGGCTTCAGTGTTTCCATACAAAACAGCAGCCATCCCATGAAAGGGATGGGAACTATAAAAACTGATTAAGTAGCTAGCCCCTACTTTGTAGAAAACCATGCAGAAGTTATGTGAGATGATAAATAGGAGGACAGTTGGGGGGTGGGGGGGGCAAAAACC